CAGCCGCCCGCGGAGGCGCGCGAAGCAGCGCCAAGCTTTGCCGGGAACTGTCGCGGGCCTGAAGTTGGGCCCGCAGCCGAGTGCTGTTACCACTGCGGGAGGCTGGGATTTGGCGGGCCAAGAAATGGGTCTTAGGAGTTCATTCTTTCCCTTTTAAGTAACAAAAAACGTTTAGTTCTAACGGACCCGAATCCCTTCACCTAGGCGCCCATCTTCCTCTCTCCAAGCCCACCCCACCTCTCAGGGGATGCCCTTATTCTCAGCCTTCTGTAGGTTGGTCATGATGATCGCTTGTGATAATTACTGAGTCTAAATGTGTTCGCCAACGAACGCATCTCCTCTATCTTCAAACGTTTAAAAAAAAAATGGGTTTCTAGCATGCTGAAAAGTGAAAGCATTCAATCCAATAAACTGCTCTATCCACTTCGAGAAGTGGATAGGAACTTGTGAGCTAAACAGGAGGTGTATGAGAGGGGAAAGAGCCAAGGACCTCATAAGGAGTGAAGAGCCAGCAAGACAGCTGAGCAGGCAGGGGATAAAGGAGGTGATGGGGGCGCCTAGCGGGAAATGACAAGAGCCAGATGGACTGCGAAACGTTGCCTGCCCATCTGAGCTTCCAAAAGAGGCAGGCTGTGCCATATGGCAGGAGGCTAAATCGGGTGGGGAAACCTCCTTGGTCTGGAAGCCAGCTTCTCTCTCCTCTCTCACATACCCCACCCCAAGTTAACATCAGACTGAGTTTGATGCAATTATCTGGGGAAAGGGTTCACAGACATCAGATACTCAAAATGGGTCAATGATTTAAACAAACAAAAACCCTCTAAAGTCACTCTAATACTTTGAAAATTCACTGTTTTTGAAACAAGCATCCAGTCTCAGCCCAGTTCCCCATATTTTCAATGACAAAGGTTGAATGTTGCACAAGGTAACTTAACCTTCAAGTGAGATTTGCCAAAATGCTTGTATTAAAAGACTTGTCTTGCCCACAAGAATGCTACTTCACTCCCAATGCTTTCAAAGGCATACTCATTCCAAGTTACAGTAAATCCTTTCTGCAAACATTGAGACTAAAATAAAGTGACCCATCATTGTATGAGTCAGATGTATTGTTAATTTAAATGATAGGTTTTGCTAATGTCAACTAAAATTAGCACTATATTGAAAATGAAATTATTTTATCTTTGTTCTATTTTAGTATACATTTACCCATTTTATAGGAACAAAGAAACAATTTCTAAAGTAATGTGCCCATAGATGCATGTAAATTTGGATTTCTAGAATCCAAGGTCTTATAAGTACTAACAGTGAATTATTTGCTTACAGTGCAGCTATCTGTAATACATTTACAAATTACATTTTACTGCATTTAGCCACTCATTCCACTGACCTATACACAGCGCCCAAATGCCTTTTTCTTTCTTGTGTAAAGCAGGACAATACTAACCAAATGTTAGTATGTAAAATGTTATTGTGCATTTAAGGGCTGAGAATATAGCCTAGTGGTAGAATGTTTGTCTACTATTCAGGAGTCCCAAGGTTCAATCTCCAGTACCACACTTTTTAATTGTAGGGACTGGAGAAATGGCTCAGATGTTAAGAGCACTTGCTGCTCTAGCAGAGGGCTCAGGTGTCCTGGCAGAGGACTCAGATTCACAGGTTTTGTTCCCAGCATCCACGTAGTAGCTCACAAACACCTGTAACTCCAGTTCCAGGGGATTGGATGCCCTACTTCTGATCACCAGGCATGCATGTGGTGCACTTACATACATGCAAATACTCATAAAAACAAATCTTAAAACAAAAATTAGGGCCAGGCGTGGTGGTGCACGCCTTTAATTCCAGAGGCAGAGGCAGGAGGATCTCTGTGAGTTCAAGGCCAGCCTAGTCTACATAGTGAGTTCCAGGACAGCTGGGGCTACAGGGAGACCCTGTCTCAAAAAGACAAAAAAAAAAATTATACATTTAAATATTCAGATAAAAATTTAACATCAGAATGACAGAAATGATTCGTCATTTGGCAAATACCACAGTAAAGACTTGCTCTTGGGCACCTGAGTGCTTGAATATCGTGAACATCTCATAAGGATATTTGCCCTCTACAGTTAAATCCAAAAAAGAAAAAGACAGTTTTTCACTGAATAAACCTGGCAGACAAATAACCTAAAATTATTCACACCTTAAAGGGGACCTGGACGTTGTAACTCCAGAGAGGACAACCTTAATTCTGAACTATTCTTGCTCAAAAGGCATATTCTAAATTTAATGAAAGTTCACAAAATTAGCCAGTAAAGATTCAAAGAAACTAAGTAGACTAATACATAAATCATGTAACTCTGGATTGGATCCTCCACTGAAGTGTTGGGGGGGGCTTGGCAGTGGATAACTGTAGAACTTTGAATGGTATCTAATTTGTCACTAGAGTAATGGTAATGCTAATTCCATAGTTATGATCATTAGAACATGGTTATAAAAAGTTGACATTTGGGGAGTTGGGGGGCGTGATATAACGGAAGTCTTTATACTGTTTTCTTTCCACTGAATCTGAAATTATTCAAATATTTTTTTAATTTACATCCTATGATCGCTCTGATTTTTTAAAAACATTACGGTATGATTCTTCAGGGGAAATGGAAATCTTTGAACGTTTTATCTTAATTTATAACAAACACGGTTTAAGACAATGCCTAATTCAAGCGCTCCTGTGCCTGTGTTTTCTGAATGTAGGATTTTCAGAGGCTGAGCGTTAAGAAGCTTAGGAGGAAAAATCCAGGCTGTGGCCAATTCAAAGGATTTAGAGTAAGGAGGTGACAGGAGAGAGTAGAGAGGAAGTTTGGTTTTGTTGAGACAGGGTCGTGATATTAGAGCCCAGCCTGGCCTCGGAGTCTCGGCAGTTTTGCCTCAGCCTCCCAATAGCTGGGATTTACAGGCAGGAGCCTCCACACCCATCCCGCACTAGAAGTTTTTCTAGGGGGTCAAATCTGCCCTTCCTCTGAGAATTTCCTACCGAAGGGTGGCAGGAGGATATCCCAGCTTCCCAATGCAGACCTTTTCTCAACCATATATCACACTTTCATACTACATGATGTTAAATGTCTCCGAAATATACCACGTGCAAGGTATGCCTCTGAGAGCCTGGTCACACTTTTCCCAAGGCATTTCCGAGCCCGCCGGTGCGCACCAATACTTTGGTGCTATGCACTCTCCCTACACCAAGTGGGATGTCGTTATATTCTCGGTTTTGCTTTTTCTGCTCTATTCAACTGCTTTTTCCCAACCCCAATCCAAAGGCGGTTCTCCAACTCCAACCGCGGTTCTCCAAGCCCGACCGCAGCTCCTAGCGCCCAGCTCATCCCGCGCCGGCGGGCTTGCCTCCCGCGCCCGCCACCGCCCGCGCCCCAGCTCGCGCCAGCATGGCCCGCGCCTACTGGACAAAAAGAACTGTTGGGGCTTGCTTTAACGATGTCTTGGCACGTGCCCCTTGCTGGCGGGGGTTCACCCAGCGGAGCTGCAGGGATCCAGGAAGAGCCCGGCAAGGGGGGCGCTGTGGGGGCCGGGGAAGGCTGGAGGGAGAGCTGAGGCTAGCCGCCCTCGGATGCAGGAGTGCTCCCCAGAGAAACAGCTCAGAATGCTCCAGGAAATGATGAATGAATGAATGAATGAATGAATGAATGAATGAATGAACGAACGAACGAACGAACGAACGAACTACACTCAGGACCAACAGCGGAGCTCTGAAAGTTTAAAACCGTCAAAGGCAATGAATAGGTCCCAGGAGATTAGTCTATAAAGCTGCCTGACACCTCGGATTATGTGGGGATTTTTTTTTTTTGTCACCCCCTCCCCGCGCCGTGTAAGTAGCTCACGTTCGTATATTTTTTTCTGTTACTGCCTGAATTCTAAGGACAGGACCTGTCCTTTAAATTTTATCTCTCCCTTTATAACCCAACTAGAAAGAATGGAGAATCAGGTTTGCCTCGGTTTTACTAGTAATTTTTCATTTATTCAGTGTGCATGTTCTTGTGGAGGGGATGCACATGTGTGTGGCTGCACATGGGTGTGGAGGCCAGATGTCAACCTTGGGTGGCTTTCTTAGGAACTGCTCACCTTCTCTTTTGACTTAGGGCTCTGAGTTTTTAGGCTAGGCAGATCTGAGGTAGAGTCCAGGGGGTAGAGTCCAGGTCTTCCTGACTGAAGAGCAAGCCCTTTAGTAACCCAATCCTCTAGTCTGCTAGCTTTTAAATGAAAAATCAGCTCACGTCTCCTCTAACCACTTATTTCCTTCCTTTGGGGGACAGGGAGGGTCTTTCCCTTTATGGTGGTGGTTCATGCATAAAGTATTACCCAAATGAGATAGTTCCCCACGGTTTTAAGGTGAGGTAGGGAAAACATTAATAAACTGTTAATTCAATAGATAAAATCAGGTATATGAAGTTGATCCCACATACACAAGAAAAACTGGGTCCAGAATGCTCTAGGCTTGAAAATCTATTTCACTGTATCTTCTACCAGCACTTGAAATGCAGCATAAGCTAAAACAGAAAGGACAATCTTTCTCTCATTGTGCTCAAGCCCTCTGTTCCTCTGTGTGCCCTTCCGATATAACTGTGTGGCAGACCAAAGTCACAGCCTTCTTCCACTCCCCTTTCCTGTATGCCCAAGCCAAATCCAGATATCTAAGATAATCTCTCTCTCTCTCTCTCTCTCTCTCTCTCTCTCTCTCTCTCTCCTACACACACACACACACACACACACACACACACACATACACACACAGA